AGATTTTTAATAAATTGTTCCACGCATTTGACATTTTTGTTCTCTTGTACGCATTTTGCGACGAACATTACGTATACGAGCTGATAATCGAGATGTAATTAAACCCTAATTGAAAAGAAAAAAAAAATAAATGTCAAATTAAATATAAATTAATATATTCCGAACAAAAACAAAAATCGTAACATATACATGAGGATTAATTGTATCTTCACATGCTAAACAAGGATATTCATTAATAAGTGCAATACCAATTTTTTTATATTCAACACCATGAGTTAATTGTGGATAGACATTCATATAGAAATCAGCTGCTTCACGAATTAATTCATTCATTATTGGTTCAGGATTACCTAAATAATTATAAATATATAATTTAATATGAATTGATCTTTTATATTAACATACCCATGAGAAGTTCATGTTGAATTTTATCACTAAATGTTGGTAATAATGGTTGATCAGGTATTCGACTAAGACCAATTTCCTATTCAGAAAACAATCGAAGTTTTTGATTTCGATTAAATCTTTTTTATTTTTTTCTTGTCTACTTCATTATTACTAATCGATGTCATTGATTGTGATGGTTGTCGTGCTATTGGTGAAGTATAATGAGACATATCATCATAACTATCGTTAGCTATTGTTTGGCGTGTAGATTGATGAATTATTGGATTATTATTATTTGATGGTAAACATTTGCTGACTGTAGTTTTTTTAGCAACACGACGACGAGGAAGTGGAGGATCGGTTATTGAGTCCTAGATATAAAAACAAAAGTCTTATATATAAAACAAAAAGCAAGAAAACGATTTATAGGTTTTAAATATTTAACATACCGGTCGATAATCTGTACGAACTGATTTAAATATTGATTCATTATCTTCCTATAAATATAAGAAATATTATTACAAATAAAATCGATCTAAACATATCGTACAAGAGACGGACTTCGTTCACGTCGATAGTTTATTCGTTGAGGAGGAACATTTGTTAACTGCTAGAAAAAAAAATGATGAAAAACAAGTGATATATATACAAAAATAAATTTACGTCAAATGATCCTTGAGAACCATCATTAGGAACAAGAAAATCATGTAAAAAGATAGTTGATGACGACATAATGATAAATTTCGTAGAGAAAGACTTTGTGAATTGACAAATATAAAACAAAAAAAAAAAAAGAAATTGCAGACGATCTTGTAGAAACAAAAAAATAGTACAGTTTCATTAGTCAAAAATGTCGACCAACTCTATTAGTTGTAGATGTCCATAGAGTGCACTCAAAATTTCCTGACGTTTTTAAATGATCATCGATGAAAAGTGAATCATATTCAAACAAAAAATAGTCCCATTATCAGAGTCCGAATCTGAAATTTTCAAATCCGACGAGCTTCATACATTACTACGTGTAAATCACTTTCTTATTTATTATTGCCAAAGATTGAATTGAAATCTCCCAAAGTCTTACGAAAGAACATTTATTAGTTCCCGAACTTTGATCAAGTTGATATATGATTCTTTGGTAAGATTTGATAAGGCTAGTTGAAGTCTAAATGAATTCGAGCTCATATACTCAACTAAAGAGATGACGATTTTATTGAAGTTTTCGGTCTTCTTGTTTAATAGTCATCAAAACTTAAATTATAAAATTTTCACTTGATATTTTGTCTATGAACAAGTTTCAGAGAATAACTTAGATATTCTTGAATTCTAGCCCAAACAAATGTAATTAGTTTTTGTTGAGATATTGAATGTTTATGATAAGTTGTTTCTATTGCTTTACCTGTAAGACATTGTCATTGTTTGAATATTCAATATTGCATGTAAAATGCATTCGTTGGACCTGAAAGTTTTAGTATATTTTGATGTTCCTTGGCATCACTTATGAAAGAAATATTGAGTGAAAATTTCACAAATTAAAATTCCATGAACATCAGATCTATCAACCAGAAAATCTCAATAAAACGATCATAACTGTGGCTAGCCTACATAAGGTCAATGCTGTTTAGACTTTGTCTTGTTTTATCGAATTCTCCTTATAAATTAAATTTGAGGTTAGTCCACGTCTGACAGTTGAAGATATTCTAAGTGGTTAGTTAGAATATCTGTTATTAATACCTAAAAAAAACAAAAGAAAACTTGATTATTTAAGATAAACTAGATGGTATTCGAGTTTCGACTCGAATACGAAATGCGGTGCGAAGCACAGATCTCGAGTTTTGGAAAAAAACGATATTTCAGAAAAAAACGAATAATCGATTCTCGGTTCAATGTTGAGTGTTCTTTTCGTCAAATTCTTTGCGTTCTACCGATTGTAGACGTTTCTCTCGGTCGTTGTAAATTGAAAATGTTACGTTCCATTAATCAGCTCATCATTGTCAGAAAAAATTCAGAAGTAGCCATAATAAAACTCATCACTACGAGAACTCTATCAAATTGTATCGACATTATCCTAAACAACGATATTGATTGATCGCTTAATTATCTCTATGATTCATTATCTACTATCAGCTGTATTCACAATTGTTTAACATATGAACCGACAGAGTGCCGCCTAACTTTCGCTTATGATAACTGAGAGATATAAGTGCCAAAAATATAGCTTGATAGAAATAAGATTAATTCAGATTATTGTAGCCTTTTTCATATCTTCAAGGTTACATTTGTCTAACTGTTGTCGATAGTCAAAACTTGTTTTTTCAATCTGATAGAATTTTCGAGCTTTGAACAAAAGTATTGTTTAAAATATTGGAAGTTTTAAAAATATTAATGTAAATTTAGTAGGAAACTATGCAATCCTATTGATAGATGACTCGCTCTCTTCACTTCATATGTTTGAACGAGCTTCTTAAATTGTATTTAGTAGGGAGATAATCTTGAATAATTAATATGTTATGTAAGACTGGTTATAAATTACAGAAACTTCCTGTTTCGCTCTTTTAATCTTATCAATTATTTAGAACAGTTTTAAGATGAGTGATCTTATTGAAGTAGACTATATCATTGAATATTCGTATATAATATGCAAAATATGAAATCTTAAAATTCATTTTATTGAAGATAATTTGTTACCGTTTTTACTCCACGAGTTACATTAATGATTTATTGTAGACAAATATATTGCTTTTTTAAAGCATACTTTAGTAGCAATTTAAGTTAAGCATTACAGCTTTGTTTTAAGATGAGAGTCGTCATTTTATTACATTTAATAGTTTTGTTGTCCACTATTTTTCTAACAGTCGTGAAGAACTTTTGTGATAAATGAGTTTTCATCATATACCGATTTTCATTTCTATATCTGAAATTATATCGTTCTTGTATTACAAAATACTGGTCGTCAGATCAGAGGCATGAGCATAGACAATAATATTTTATATACTATACCATATCTTCATTCTACCTTTGGGGTATAGTTGAAAGTAAGAGTTTGAGTGAGAATATAGATAATGCTGTTTTTTTATTGAAATAGAATAAGAAGACAATTAAAAAAAATGATTACTAGTGTGCAAGATTAAAAAAAAAGAAAAATTTCAATTAAGTGGTGATTTTCCATCATCATTATTATCATTTGATGGTTGACCTGTTAAGGCATTTAAAATCAACACGTATGCTAAACTATCGAATGGAATTTGTCCTGATTGAGAATTAGCAACATCATGCATCGATTGAAGTAATGTTTGAAAAGCATCGTCATTGGTTTGTCATTGATTTGGACGTTGATCGAAAGGTAAATTGATTTGAGAAAATGATGAATCAATTTCAGAATTAGGAGCATTTGTTTGAACATTGATTGGTGATGGTACTCGATACGGATCTTGTTGAACACGATTCATTCATTTTGCTGAAGATTGACTAGATTTATATGTATGTTTTGTTGTGGACGAGCTCATTCCAGATGAAAATAAATTATGTGATCCTACACCACCATCACCTGTAGATGATGAAGCCATTTTAGATGTTGTGGTTGATGATGATGACGATGATTTTGGAGAATATGATGTTGTTGGTTGTCGATACGTTCTTTCATATTCACCTTTCATACATTTCATTTGCACTTTGTTCCGATCATCACTTGTTGATTGTAATGGTGGATAATTTGGAAATAAGTGTCTGTACGAATTACCTGAACCTGCTACACCTTGTTCATGAGAAGCTGATGGCATTGGTGGAATAGTATCACCAAGTGGTGCTAATGGTGCACTTGCCATACCAGGAATTGTATCATCACTTGTTGTTTTTATACCTAATGGTAGAATATATCGTGGTGGAAATGTTAATAGATAGAATGATGTTAATCAAATACCTGAATGTGAAATCATTTTTTCATCCAAACTGATTGAATGATGTGGAAAAGATAAACCATGAGAAATTTGTGGACCAGAATATGGTAGCATAGAATTTGATGGATCCATTGTATGATGATAAGGATTCGTAGTCTGAATGAATAAAACATTTTAAACTGTTTTTGATAATAAAAAAGAACATACTGTATGTTGCATATGTGGTTGTACTTGTGATGGATTTATATTACCAGATTGTGCAGCCGTGAATGCATTGATAAGCATGTTTATGTGTGTAATTAAATCATTCAACGACTTGTCAACATTGTTTTGGTGTGGGTGGGAATGTGGGTGTGATTGTCTCTATATCTTATTCAAGCCACACCCACACCCTCCTTTTCAATGAATACATTTGTTAACAAAAATATATTCAAACGACTTTTTCCATAAACTGTAATTTTGAAAACTTGAAGATATTTGAATTCAATTTAAATGAGATAGAGTTTTATTCCTAGGTTTACTCATTCATTCATGATATTAGTCGATAATCTAGTTATCGCTGAAATCACTTTTGAGGGTATTTATGTATAATACTATTCATATATATATTCATTTAAATAAAGTCAATTTATTTCAAAGAATACAACTCATCATACATTAGTTTTTTACAACAATAAACAAGACAATTATCTCTTTCATCTATATTTTTCAAAATATTCGTCAATAACAAATTTTTGCACAAGGAAAATATTCTTGTAAACAAGTCGAATGTTTTTTATCACCATATAAAACTAATTTATTTATTTTAGCACAATTAATTCGTGTATCATCTCTTGTGAAATTATGTGTTATTCGTTGTAAAGATTCATAATTGATAGAAAGAATAATATCTTGGAAACACGCTTTAGAATGAAGTAGAAATTGTTCTATATAATCATCATGAACACTAACAATTATCAATTCATTAAGAAAAGGATATTCAATAACAGAGAAATTTCGATTAAAATTAATTGATCCATAAAATTGTTTGAAATTTTGTGGTTTATCATTTTTAACAGATAATCTTTCCATAAATGGAAATGACTTTTGAATTTCATTAAAAAATTCATGTTCAAATGGATGTTCATCAACTAATGACACTATACGAACATTAATGAATAATCCACCAGGAAAATTATTTGTAATAATGCCATAATATTGCATTAGAGATGGATAAGAATAACTAAGACATCGGCCTTGTTTTGCTTTTGGAAAATAATCAACACAGGAAATAACTTTAATATTTGAAAAGTCAATGAATGTACATTGAATATCTTCTGTTGATGGAAGATTTATTTGATTGTTGAGAAACATAAACGAGTCAATAGAAAATGAAAATCGACTTAATCGTGGCATATGATTAATAATATCTTTCTTCAAATTGTTTCCATCAATAAATGTTTTATTTTGACAGACTGTAAGACATAGAATGAGTTCTCCTAGATTAAACATTCGATGTAAAAGTGGAAGAATTCTATCATTATAATCACATGTTCTGTAATTGCAGGAGATAGAAAAGCGTTTTAGATTTGGCAAATCGCCCTGAAAAAAACAAAATCTCTTTCATCATTTGATAACATAAAGCTTTTATACAACTAACTTGATTTTGAATTTCATGTGAAGAATGAATGTTAGCCAAATCGACACAGAGTGTATGAAGATGAATAAAACGACCATCAAGAAGACAAAGACAATCATCAAAACATTGTACATTAATAATCAATTGCAGAAGAGTTGAAGAACGAAAATTAAGTAGTAATGGATCATTAAAATCTAATCGAACACGATTTTTATACGATGATTCATATAATATTAAAGTAGTCAGACGTATAAATACAACGAAGATGGAATTAAATATGTTTGCTATTGATTCTAACATTTCAGTTCTCATTATTACCATTAATCGCAAGAGTAAGTGTTGTTATCTGATTTTTGAAAATTTCAGACGACAAGTTTCCATCTAAGCATACATACACAACATGAACAAGAAAAAACTACATAACATCAACGATCTACTCATCTGCAATTAAATTTTCTATTTATTTAGAATAAAAATAATTCTATTGAAATTTCTTACTCGTAGAAAGATATCGAATTGACTCTTCATCGATATTGTAAAGACCAAGACTATTTAAATTAGGATAATCAGTAGCACATAAAATATGTTTCATAGATGATGCTTCGAGATCAAGCCATTTAATTTTATCATGAATATCAGGTAAAATTTGTAAACAATATCGATTAAGTATCATATCACAATGTAATAGATCGATAAAATTACATTTCGACCATTTGACAAAACTCAAACGACTTGTAAAAGTTGAATCATGAACAATACTATCTATTCGTTGATTAATACCTTTTAAACAGTAAAGAACGTCAAAATTGTTCAGTTTTTGACCAATAATCATAAGAATTTCATCAGGTAAATCAGTAAATCTAGCACATGAATATTCCATATCTATTATCATTTATACATTCTTTTCTGTTTATAAAAGATGATATTTATATTCGTATTCTTATCCATTTCACTTAATCAATGTTCATATTGACGAGACAAATAACAATGCATTTTTCTACAGTCTAAACTGATAAGGATCCAAACGGACTGAAAACAAATAACACGAATTAAAAGTCAATTAACCAATATAATTGCTTTTGTTACGTAGAAACACCAATCACGTTACACTTAATTCAACTTTAAGTTAATTTATTTTTCTCTATCTCTATGATTCCTAACGAATAAATGTATAAGTGAAAGAATGTCATTATCCTCTTTCCTCATTGGGCTCATTAAAACTGCTTAAAAATTCTTCCTTTGCCTATGCAAAATAACAAATTTAAAAACTGTAGGCGGCGAATTGAACACAAACATGATTTTCAACTTCACCTTCATCTACTAAATGACAATAGAGAGATTATGTTCAGTGTGGGTGTGGGTGTGTGCGTGGGTGTGGGTGGGTGTGGGTGTAGGTGTGTGGGTGGGGGTGTGGGTGTGGGTGTTGACCTTATCTTTCCCGATCATCACACCTACGCC